AAAAAAGACAAACAAATTATTTAACTCTAATACAATTGACTTGATATATCAATTTATTATACAAGTTAATTAGGGAAACTTCATAAACATGGAAAATAAAATAGATTAAGAGATCTTACATTTAGGATTAAAACTAATTGTTTAATTAATTCTTACACCTAGGAGCATAGGTATTTAAATACATAGTACACAATGTATATACGTCTAACCATATATTTTTGTGTGTCAGATATATTATGAATGATGTATATTATTTGTGGTCAAACTGATAGTTTTTTGCAAAATATAATTAATATTAAAATAATCTAATTATATTCTTTTCCAAGCACTTGATGAACGCAATAATAAAACATTGGGTTTGTACACGAAAATAGCATTTCTCGACTGACTGAATGATTATTTAATTATGTATATAGGGAGAAATGTATTTACAGTATTAAAACAAAAATTAACACTATTTATTTGAGAAAATTAATCATTTAATTCATATAATTTTCATTTACTTAAAACTCAGTTACTGAGTTCTGTATCAATATAATTTAGTCCTAATAGATTTTTAATTGTTTAATATATCAGTTCTTGCATTTCAAAAAACAAATAGGGAAAATGACATAAAAAGAAGTTGGAAATTGCAATATTCTAATTCAGGTACCTAGGAGTTCAAACTCCTAGAGGAGAAAGTGGTGCCTAATATGGTATTTTGTAAATATAATCAAATAACTAAAATACCCCTGTATGAGATTTTTTTTGAAAAAAAAAGCTATCAAATTTGTCATTACTAATACATTTCTTGTCATTAACTGTTTAATACCTATCATTGTTAGTTTACAATTTATTAACTTATCATTGTAAATATATTTTTTGTCATTTGTTCTTCAATACTTCTTATTATCAGTTCATAATTTGTTAATAAACTTTTTGATATATACAAGGGTATTTTTATCATTTAACTACATTTGCAAAATAACCTAATCAAGCATCATTTCCTCCCCTGGATTTTGAAGTCTTAGGTGTTTGAATTAGAGTATTATAATTTTTAACTTTTTTATGTCATTTTCCCAAAATATTATAAGGATTTATGTTATTTATTGAGCGTTAAATACGAAAAGCCTTACGGTTTAGTGCTATGGGGACCCTTTTACAAGTAGAAGGTCACACATTCGATGTTGCTTGTAGCCTAGTATTTATCCCTTTAATTAAAAAAAGATGAATGTTTTAAACACTTACAATTAATAGATTAAATTATACTGAATCAAAGTTCAGGGACTGATGTTAATCAAGTTGAAACTATACACAGAATCAAAATAATTTATGAACTTATTTTGAACTAAGTCAAAACTCTGATGAACAAATTAATTAAGTGATTAATTTTCCTATATATTTTATTAAGTACAAAACTTAAAAAAAAATTTAATCATTTAAAAATTATAGATTAAAAATTCTAAGTCTAAACCATTTAGCATCAAATTTACATAATTAGATCAAAATGAGCCCATTTAGCATCTAAATATGAAACGCCCGTTTCTTTCATCTTATTTCAAAAATGTCAATGCGTATAGTAAATGAGCCCCTGAAGTGGTCATCACCTTCATTTTTTTGGTTTACAAATTACAACTACTAACTATTTAATATCTACTATCTGATACTACAAAATAAGCATTAGGCTTCAAATAAATAAATGATAGCTGTAAGTGGTGGATTCTAGATTTCCCCCTCTTCGGGTCAGATGAAACTCCTAAGTTAACTTTTCGCATCACTTGAGGGAAATGTATATTTAATACTGCCTCTGGTCCTTTCGTGTAAGTGGTGGATGAGATTAGGCTTAATATTCACAGAGATTGACAAATTAACATTACTCATATGTACAGAGACGATCTAACTAATTCTGATAAGCTAGTTAAATTGGCTCACAGAATAGACGGGAATTTTGTGCTTCTGGATCAGCCTGCAACTTTTGCTACGGAGGCGGACATTGATGAAGGATAAGGCTGTCTTTTGGTTTGCTTTACTTTTATTGTTGATTTAATGAAGCTTTAGTATTTATTTTTTAAAAAAAGTAGATTAAGAAATCTTGTTAAATTAGTTATTTATAATAAACATGTGTTATCTTTCTTAGAATACACTTACTAATAATGTGTATTAGCTAGGATTATCATTTGATAAAATTTTTAACATGTGCAACTACTACAAGGATTACTTTAAAAAAAAAAGGACAATTATAAAAAATAAAGTGAATTGGGGTCTTATATTTAAAACCAAATTAAAAGTCAAACCAGTTTTTATATTAAGAATGAGAGCTAGCAGTATCTTCCAACGGACACTATTTCAAATCCCCAGTGTCTCACCTAAACATTTCTTTGACAAATTTGAATCTCCACAATCAAGTTTATCAATAGATAATGTGATTCATTTCTCAAATTCTGTCTGATATGTGGATACATTTGGAAAATTAGCTGAGTTTTAATCAGATTTTAATTAACAAATGTTTTGCATTAAATATAAAGGCAGTTTTGAATTCAAGAATTCCGTTTCATATAAAAACAGAAACTCTCAATTTTTTCATAGTCAAATCAAAAGAAACTCAGATTAACTGTTCACACAATAAATGATGGTACAAACGCATATTTAATTACTAGAGTGTAAAATCAATTTATTTATTTTTCAAATTGGTTACTAAAAGTCTCATATAAATATACTCGTATACAACATCACCAACGGTCTTCCTTTTACTTTTTGGGCCAAACATACCCTCATCCATCGTCTTCACGTAACATGAAAACGATGAAGTGAGGAGCTACTTTCACTATATTTTTAGTTATTATCTCTCTCTCTCTCTCTCTGGCCATTGCATTCAAGTTCATGGTATGCTTCTCAATTCTTGTTCTTTATTGTAATTTGTAACACATAATTATATATATATGAATATAATCAGATGGTTATTTAATTGATAAGGACTTTTACTTAATTAAACGCAAAATTATTAATTCACATTGAAATGTATAATGATTTATTTGTATATTCTTTTTTTCCAAACATAAAAGAGGTTGATTTCTTCTCTGCCGGAACATTCCTTAATAATATTTGTTTTTTTACTAGGCAGATTTCAGATTTATATTATGAAACCAAAAAGAAAAAAATGGATGAATAATTTATATATATCAACTGAAAAAATCAAGATATGAAAAACAAGACAAAGATTCTTCCATTAATAACAATGAGAGTTACTTTTTCTTTTGGGAGAATTTAAAAAAAAATACCTTTAAATTTTAAAACTTTACGTCAATCTTGTTTCCTATACTTTTAAAACGCAAATGACAACACATTTTTAAAGCCATTCCTAAATTGGAATTTTAAGATTTTAAAGGTATTTTCTTGGGATTTTTTTTCTTTTCTTTTGTTTCTTTTTCCTTTGACTTCCTTTGATCTTGATCTTTATATCTTCGCTATTGATGGTTCTTATTATTGGACCCTTTACAAATTTTTCAAAACATTAATAATGATTGTTTTGGTACTGCAAAAATCCGGCCCCAAAATCATTAACAATTTTGCTAATGAACTTCATTGAGGTGACATTTTAAAAAATTTTAAAACTTTTGACAAATTCAAAAACAATAACTAATTTTAACTAATTTTCTTAATCTATATTTATGTGCATAGTAACATGTCCTCATAACAAGAACCAAAAGGCAGTGAAATCTGAGAAGAGAGCACACGGAAACTTGGATTTGTAAAATGACCAATCGAATATTATTGATTCAACTATGAATATTTATAGTACAAAACATGAACCCATAATGGGCTAACTAGTATGGAACACCGGATGGACCACCGGCCCAATACAACTCATACAATCAGTATCCTTAACACCCCCCTTCAAGTTGGAGACTATACAGATTAATAGTTCCTAACTTGCGTATCATGGCCTCATGATCTTCCCTCCCAAGAGCTTTAGTTAAGACATCTGCTAATTGATTCTGACTATTTACATGTTGTAAGTCAATGACTCCTTCTTGTAGTTTTTCTCGCACGAAGTGACAATCTATTTCAATATGCTTCGTGCGCTCATGGAAAACAGGATTACTAGCAATATATATAGCAGCCTTGCTATCACAATAAACCTTCACCGGCTCAAGCCCTCTCCCATCCAAATCTCTAAGCATGCGTGTCAACCATGTAACTTCAGAGACGGCAGATCCTAAAGCTTTGTACTCTGCTTCAGCGGAAGACTTAGATACTGTTTGCTACTTCTTAGATTTCCAACAGATTGGAGAACCACCAAATTTGAGTACAAAACTAGTCACTGATCTCCTTGTGTCATGGCAAGCTGCCCAATCAGAATCTACATAGCATTCTAAGTTTGTTCTATTGGTTGCAGCAAGGAAGATGCCCATTCCAGGACTGCCCTTTAAGTATCTCACCACACGTGTGGCTGCCTCCATGTGAGATTTCCATGGAGCACTCATGAATTGGCTGAGAGTCTGCACCACAAAACATATGTCAGGCCGAGTCATGGTAAGGTAAGACAACCTACCTATTAGGCGTCTGTACACAGAGGGGTTTTGAAGAAATGGATCCAGATCTGTTTCGGTACTATGTCTCTTCTTATTTGCCTTGTTGGATGCCATTTGGATTCCTTCCCGTGACAGTCTAACACTTCTTTCCATAGGAACTTTCAATGGCTTGGCACCACTTAAACCTACATCTGAAATAAGATCAAGAGCATATTTTCTTTGACTAAGAACAATACCTCTCCTGGACCTTGTCAATTCCAATCCCAAAAAGTATTTAAGCCCCCCCAAATCCTCAATTTTAAATTTCTAGTGTAGATGAGTTTTAGTTTCATTAATTTTGTCAATGTTATTTCCAGCAACCACAAGATCATCTACATAAGCTAGAACCACAGTAATATCATGTTTATTTTGTTTAACAAAAAGGGAATAATCATATCTACTTTGTCGAAACCCCCCTTGTATTAAAGCCTCAGTAAGTTTGGCATTCCACTATCTGGATGCTTGCTTGAGGCCATATAGAGACTTGTTTAGTTTGCAAACTTTGGTGCCGACAAACTGATCAAACCCCTGAGGAATTTTCATATAGACCTCCTCTTGTAGGCCCCCCTGCAGAAATGCATTGTTGACATCCATTTGGAAAAGATGCCAACAATGCATGGCTGCAAGAGTTAAAATACACCTAACTGTAACCATTTTGACAACCGAAGAGAAGGTCTCAAAATAATCAATACCTTCTTGTTGACTGTACCCTTTAGCTACTAAACGGGCTTTGTAACGTTCAACACTACCATCAGAGTTATATTTTACCTTAAACACCCATTTACAACCTATAGCCCTTTTACCTTTTGGATTATCGACAATATCCCAAGTGTGATTCTGCTCAAGAGCTTGCATTTCCTCTCTCATGGCAGTCATCCATTTGGGATCCTTTGCTGCATGCTCAAAGCTATAAGGCTCAACAACAGTGTCAGTGGAAAGTAAATAATTCTTATAATCAGCAGAAACATGAGCATAAGTAATATATTCATGCAAGGGATACCGGCACTTGACTTTTCCTTGGTTACTATCAACTGTGTCACCAAGACAGACATAATCATTGAGCCAAGTAGGGGATTTACTGTTCTGAATAGGTCTATCAATTCCTTCTACATGCTGTTCAGTATCAATATTAACCTCATCTCCATGGTGATCAAGAATATCAGGAGGGTCAGCAGATTCATTGTTAATAATGGACTGTCTAGGATTAGACTTGGTGGAAACATGATCATCATAGGCAAAATAATCCAAGGCAGACTTACCAGTCCCTGATGCTTGATTATCAAATGAAATATCTTTAAAAGGAAACTTGGTTTCCACAAAATTGACATGTCTACTAACAAACATAGTCTTGGTCTTAAGATTATACAATAAATAGCCCTTTTGATTAGGTGGATACCCCATAAAAATGCTGACTTCAGCCCTAGGCTGAAATTTATCATTATGACAATGAGAGACAGCAAATGCAAGACATCCAAAAACTTTCAAATGTGTCAAGTCAGGCTGTTTTTGATATAAAAGCTCAAAAGGAGTTTTATAATTCAGGATTTTAGAAAGGAGTTCTATTGATCAAATAAGAGGCAGTCTTAATGCTTTCCCCCCAAAACTTAATCGGAACACCAGAATGAAAGATAAGGCTTCTAGCTACATTAAGCAAGTGTTGATGTTTGCGCTCAACCACCCCATTTTGTTGTGGAGTGTAGGGACATGTTGTTTCATGAATAATGCCCCTCTCAAGAAGAATACATTTTAGTTTAGTGTTAGTGAATTCTAACCCATTGTCAGTTCTTATTCTTTTGACAATAGTAGAGAATTGAGTACTAACATATTGTAAAAAATTAAGTAACAACTGAAAACTATCACTTTTATTGATCATTAGGAAAGTCCAAGTACATTTAGAGAAATCATCAACAATGGTAAGAAAATATCTATACCCCTGATAGGTAGGTTCCCTATAGGGACCCCATATGTCAACATGTACCAATTCAAAACAACATGAAGAAACAGAAACTGAATGGGGAAAAGGAAGTCTAGCTTGTTTAGCTAGAGGGCAAACATCACAATTGACATTAGAAGGACCTACAATTTCATTCTTTATCTTGTCTATATGCCTAATGACTTCTAACGGAGCATGTCCTAGTCTATAGTGCCACAGTTGAGAGGTTTCTTTCCTTGTGTCTTTTGATGGAAGATTCATAAGAGCATTGTCCAAGGTTAAAATTTTTCCAATCAAGTATAACCCACTATGGATTCTACCAATCACCTGAGACCTCCCAGTTAAAATCTCCTGCAATACACAGAACTCAGGCTAAAAAGAGACAATGCATTGCAGTTCTTTAGTTATTCTAGACACAGAGACAAGATTATAACAGCATTCAGGAGTATAATAAACATCACGTAGTATAATGCTGTCAAAAAGTGTTACTGTGCCAGTGTGTGTGACCGTAATTTTATCACCATTAGGCAATCTGATTTTCCTAAGGGGTCCTGAGTAAACCATAGCACTATCAAGCAGAGTAAGACTACTAACTACATGACAAGATGCTCCAGAGTCTAGTATCCAATGGGTTTTACAGAGATCAGAGGGGAGTGCATTAATATTACCTGAAATGTGTTCCTCAATGTAATCTGCTGTCCCAATCATATCTTCATTACCATCACTCTTGAGAAGCTGTAGGATCTTATTGTACTGCTGTTGGGTGATAGAGGTTTGATTTCCCGAGTTGTTTGAAGGTATAGAGGACTGAGGTGTCTGTTCTCCTACTACTCGATTCAGGTGGCCTATCTGAACCTTTCTTCCTCTGAAGTTAGGAGGATATCCAACTAACTCAAAGCATTGCTCTTTCTTGTGGCCTCTGCGATGACAATGACTGCATTCATCTTGGGATCTTCCCCTGCCACGTCCTCTTCCAGATCTCCTTCCTCTAGTTATTGCTGCATCAAATGGGCTATAAGGTTGCTGTGAACATATAAGCCTCTGATCCTCATCTTGGGAGATCATGGCATAGGCTTGGTTGAGAGTCGGTAATGGAGACATTAAAAGAATTTGTGATCGCGCTTGTTGAAAAATGTCATTCAAGCCCATAAGAAACTGAAAGAGCCGCTGCTGCTCTACTATTCTAATGTATTCTTGAGCAGTTTCACACTGACAGGTGGGCAAGGGAACTAACAGTGCATATTCATCCCAGAGTTCCTTGAGCTTAGATAAATACGCAGACACAGTAACTGTCCCTTGAGTAATGGAAGAAATACCTTTGAGCAATGAATAGATTTTTGCCATCCACTTTGTGAAATCTCTCTTTGACATCAACCCAAACAATGTGCGCATTCTCAGAAAACACTATACCATTAGCTACCTCCTTATCCACTGAATTGATCAGCCAAGAAAGGACCACAGCATTACAGCGATTCCACTGTTCTTTGAGATGTGGTTCATTGGTGCGGGTGTATGTGCCTTCGATGAAACCCAATTTATTCTTCCCTTGTAATGCCAGACGGATAGCACAGCTCCAAACCAAGTAATTGTTGGAACCGGTGAGCACTTGAGAAACTAAGGTTGTAGCTTGTGTGTCCGAAGGGTGCAAGTAAAGAGGGTGATTTGCATCAATTGTGGGGATGTTGGAGGCTTCAACTTTGGAAATTGCCTTATCAGCCATCGCGATAATTTCTTGAAGGAATGTGAACAGATTAACTAGTGAGAAGACCAGTTCAACCACTGGTGATGGGGGAGAAGAACGACGAAGTGTCGTGGATTACTCAACTGCGTGTTGGGAGATGGACAACAAGGCGGTGAACGGAAAACGCTGAATGATGGGAAACTTTGACAGCAGCGGATAGCCTATTCTTGAATTCTTTCCGTACGGACGTAGGAAATGATGACTATTAGCGCCTCCGTGGTGAGTATTCTCGCCTTCGTGAAATCTTGACGGTGGGCGAACTCCTAGGGCGCAAGGATAAACTCTAATTGAAAGGGGAGCAAGCTGGATTGCGATTCTTGGGTTGCACGAGTTCCAGAACTTGCCTTGACAAAACGATGACAGCAGCAACCATTTACACCATTACGGTTCTGCAGGCAAGGAGGCAATAGGGCCTTCAACTTTTGCCTTGGACTAGGCTCAACAATCGGACCTGGCTCTTGGTACCATGAGAAGAGAGCACACGGAAACTTGGATTTGGTAAAATGACCAATCGAATATTATTGGTTCAACTATGAATATTTATAGTACAAAACATGAACCCATAATGGGCTAACTAGGATGGAACACCGAATGGACCACCGGCCCAATACAACTCATACAAACAGTATCCTTAACAAAATCTCCTTTTTCTCTCTGTTTTTTTTTTTTAATAACATCTTATGATTCATATGAGATTTCTCGTTTATATCGTCTCTTGGCATTAATTACTACAAACAAACACACATATGTCTCTTAATGGGTAATAGGTGATTGTAGGACTTGCCGCAAGAACCTGATGTTACCAGGGAACTGTGGTGGCTATGGAGTTTGTGATGCATGGTTGAGTTTAAGAAGTTTGGAGAAAAATCAAATCCTTCAAACTGCAATTGAGTGACCCTTGTTCTACAAGGCCAATGCGAATGTGATATTATTTGTCCATGAAATGAAACTATATATATTTATTATATCCATGAGATTAATAATAGTACAATGTTATTTGTCCTTTTGAATCGATAAAATATATAATGTATCCTTCAAACTTGTGAAAGAACTATTGATTTATTTTCTTGTACCGATGGCTAAATATAAACCTACAATGCATATCAAAGTCGAAATAATTTTATTATCAGTAACCAATTGTTAATGAAATTTTAATTGACATACTATATATATATATATATATATTCATCATTCAATATAATTTTAATTGACATACTATATATATTTATCATTCAATATAATTTTAATTGACATACTATATATATTTATCATTCAATATAATAATTTTCCATTGAATGATTCAGTTTTTTTTGGAGACAGAGTCTCCTAAATTAAATGTCCGTGCATGCATCTAATATGATTTTAGTAGTCCAAAATACGTTTAGTTATTTTCCAAATTGGTAAAACATCCCCTATAATATAAATACTTGAATGCACCAGAACTCGTCCACCAGTCATCATCTTCACATAGCATAAAAAAGATGAAGTTGGGACCTACTCTCACTCTATTTGTCATTATTCTCTCTATTTTTGGTTGTCACACCGGGGTTCATGGTACATTATTTCTTCTATTAATATCGGTTAGCCATTTTTTAAACATCTTATTAATAAATTTCTATATAATTATACACATTACATCCATATAAACACACTTAGCTTTGATTTAACAACCCATTTGGAAGCTAACCGGACTGTTGTTTTCTCTTCTCTCTACTGCCCAAGTTAGTTCGAACCCCTGCCTCTCTCTAATTGCCAAGCTCATCCCCTTCCCCAGCTCTTTGTTTTTTATGTGTCAAACCTCTCAAATGGGTCGATGTAGGAGGAAAGGATGAGAGACTGAGATTTTCTAATGGGTTCTAAATTGAAGTATGTTTATGTGAGGCTATTAAGTGAGACAAAATAAAATGCTATGCTTCAGTATAGAATACATATATTTTTAATTTTGCACTTTAGGACAAATAAAATTTCACTCTTTATCATAACATTTAGGGTTAACATTTGCCAACATATGTCATACTCATACACACAAACCCCACATGAAATGGTGAAGTGATCAGGAGCTATTCTCAATCTATTTCTAGTTATTCTCTCCTTCTTTGGCCATTGCATTCGAGTTCGTGGTATGCTTCTTTCTTCCATTAATATCAACTAGTTACATTTTCTTTTTCCTTTTTACTTCCTTCGGTCTTCATTATAAGGTCGATCACTCTCCATGGTTTTTAGTATTAGAACCTCTAAACCTTTTTTCAAAATATTAATAATTATTTTCTTAAATACATGTCCTTATAATAAGAACCCTAGGGGCTGTCATTTGTTTAATAAGTGAAAACCTTACACCGTTACATTGTTTTCTCTCTCTCTTTTTTAAACATCTTGATTCCATGTGACATCTGTGTTTATGTATCTTGGCATTACTAAACACATGCATTATCATCGAAAATCGAATGAATAATTGCTGTATTAATGATAAGGTGATCCTAAGATTTGTCGCGAGAAGCTGATGTTAGTAGGGAACTGTGGTGGCAATGGAGTGTATGACTGCGTGGTTGAATTTAAGAGGAAGTATGGAGAAAAATCAAACCCTTCAAATTGCGATTGTACAACCATTGTTCTACAAGGCCAATGCGAATGTGATATTATTTGTCCATGAAATGAAACTATATGTGTTAGTATCTGATATTAATAATGGTACAATGTGATTTGCCCTTTTGCATCGATCAAATGGACCTTGTTATTATGATCCGGATTTGAAGAAAGATTTCGATTTTCTAAGTAAAAACCTTTTGATCACACAATTTGTCATCAAGCTTTTGTAATGAATTTTGCAACCAAAATTTTAGAAAACTGCTGCAAATCGCCAGTGAACTCAGCTTCATGAGTTCAGAAACATCTTAGAGTGAATTTAGAATGGCATATAGTTGTAGAAAACAATAGCTTCTTTGACGACATCACAATATAAGATATGAACAACTTGGGGGCTTTCTATAAGACTAATGTAATGCTTATTAAGCAACCGAACCAGAGAACAAGAGTTGCTTTTCGTGTTCACTTATCACAAGTTTGAACAATTTAATTGAGTAAGAACTCTTAAAACAAAATGGACAGAAACAAGTACAAGCCACACACAAAGACGTACTAAAACTAGAGAGCAATAATGATGTTTATAGCTTTGGGGTTGTTCTTGTAGCCTAGTCACTGGGAATAAAGCAGAAATTTACCAACAAGTGTTTGGGCAAACTGGTAAAAGGTTCGTTTAGCTTAACCAATAGTGTTGTGTTCGAGTCCTAAGGATGTAGTTGCGTTAAAATTTGTTGAAAGAGCCTGCCACCCAAAGTGGTCTTACAAAGGTCAATCTGAAATAGTCAGTTACTCAGATATCTGATAATAGGATTAAAAAAAAAGCACTAGATATCGGCGACTAAATACTTGCTTAATTGGTCATGTACCTAATGGATATGGGGACGCTTGTCCTAGCATTTCAATTGTTGCCATCCCTGATGATAGCATACAAAAGCAGATACCATTTGAGATTGTAAATGGGCGATGATAATTTTTAGTATTTGCATGTACCTTTTGTGTTTCTGTCCGTTTTGTTTTAATCGGTCTTATTTAATCAAATTCTACTCCAATAATACTGTCGACTGAATAAGATGTACTGTCCGGAAATATATTAACAATAGTAAGGTGAAATTACTTTGTTTTTTCCCCCCTCTTCAGCTCTTCACATTATCGTCAATAATTAGCTCGTGTGTGTGTGTGTGTGTGTGTAATGCCGTTTCTGGTACTTAAGTCTAAAAGATTATATAAACAGTGAGAAACTTGGTACATTGCGCTGAAAATATAGTGAAACTAAAATATCTTGCGTGTTTGTGAGAAACAAACATATCAAAAGAGAAATAAAATATATTTCCTATGGTCCTAAATGCAAAAATTAGATAGCTAGTTTGTAAGGATTAATAAAATTAGTTAGTTTTTATTAAGTACTCATGAGAAACTCCCTTCGCAATTAGGGAGGGTCTAAAAAAAATTATAAATTTAAGAAAGTAAACTGAAATTTTATATTTAAAACTAAAATAATTCATTTAGGGGCTCTTACATTTAGCATAGTGTGTTATGGGTGACTCATCTCTTCTTGTTATTAATTAAAAAAAAAAAAAGGGAAGAAGAAGATGAACTATCTTGTTGTGTGGTTCACGATGGATGGACTGTATTCTATTTCTTCTACGATGTGCAGCGCTTATAAAGATCATGAACAAGAAACTACAAAAGATAAATTTGATAGAAAATAAATACATTTTTTTGGTGATACTATATAATTATTTCTTTGATCCTGTTTATGGAACAAAGAGAGAAAAATTTTTTTTGTCTTATTTATAAATCACTTCATTAAATTTTTAGCATGGATGTATTATTTTGTCTTTCATTTATTCCAGTGTAAATTGTTATTTTTTTAAAGGTGTATATATTAAATAGAAGTAAAGTTAGAAAGTTATTATATTTTAATAAAAAGTTAATACAGTTTAAAAATTTTTTGATATGTATGAAACATATTAAAAGTATCTTATATATAGGACCAGAAAAGTACAATTTAATTCAAAAGTAAGTCAGATTTAAATAAATAGTGGCAATCAATAATCAACTATCAATCATCAATCAATCAATCAATCAACTATATTTTTAAAAACATATAATATCCGATTCGTTTAAAAATAGATCGGGTATGACATTATTGGATCCGAATATATTTAATTAATGAGATTTGAATAACATATTGATTGAAATTTGAATATATTAAATTAAATGGGAAACATAATAAATAAATAAAATTTCAGTTGAAAGCTTAAATAAAAAAATTAATAATTAATTTTGAATTTGAATAATATCTTAATTGGAATTTGAATATATTACATTCAATATGAAGCATCATAATTAAATAGTATGTCAATTGGAGGTTTAAATGGAGAAATAAATAAATAATT